GACGGCGGAATTGGGCTAGGCACGCGATTCTTTATTTTGACGACTCGCCGCGGAATCAATTGTTTTTTTTATTATTTTATTATGATCGTCGTCATTATTTACGCTTACTTGAATATTATAAAGCTGCATAAACAACGCGTTTATTCACTTTTAAAATTTTTTTTATTTTATCAAACCGGCGGTATAGGTATACTAAATCATAAATTAGGAAACCGTTTGTCTCTCTAGTCTCTACAACAGCTGATTATTACATAATATTTTACTTGGTAACGTTGATAAGTTATATGTACCTACTACGGCTACTACATATATATACTTATGGTGTAACAAGAACTTCGGAGTTAAAAAGGTTGAGAGTGGTTCTGGGGTACAGGCACGTTAAGAAAATGTTTTAACTTTCCAATATAGATATACATTTTACAATATTATATAAGTAATTTATATTATACACAAACAATTAATGGAATAGATATAAACGTTCTTAAATCAACCACTTAGAAACCATAATATATTGTATATTATTATATATAGCACGTTTATGTATACAAGAAAACACAATTGGACCTAAACTGTGCGCTATATGCGTCTTTTATAATCCGTAGGTCGATGAGCGGCCAAAGCACCCGTTTTTAAAATYATACTTATGGCGGTGGATGGAGCCACATGAAAGTTTACGCCTATAGAACCCAGATGTGACGGTCATCTTTTTTTTTCATTTTTTTCGTAATATTTTATGTTTGACAACAAACACATAATAATATTATTATACTACCTAATATTTTATACTAACTGAGGCTGTTTCATAATCCTGTCATTATCCGTTCGCGGCGGTGTAAGAGTAAAGGTACCGATTATTATCGCATAATAATATAATATGACGTCCAGTCACCCAGTCTTGCAAACTCTGCCTAGTTATTTTTATAGTACGGGAGTCGGGAGTTTCGTTAGCGATGACCATATATAGGATTTTAGTCATATGATGCCTTGCCCCTTTTTGCGCCTCGCGGGTGTAAAATACTTATAGCAACGGTTATAAATATTTAATATAGATTATAAGACAATAAATGGTTTTGAATTAAAAACGGATCTAAATATAAAGTTTGTTAATGATGAGAACTTAAGAAGATAAATACGTTAAATTATATGATTGATATGTGCATATTGTTGCGATCGATTAAGCACTAAAATATTTAATTCACCTATACCATACCTACCAATTAATTAAACAAATTGTAAATCTTTTAGCTATATGCTATATGTAATATGTATACTACGTGATTTAGTGTAAACGTTTTATATTTCAAACCGGTTCATTGATTTCAAAATCGTTTATCTAAATTACTTTAGTACGTACGTATTATAACATATTATATATAATATGAACGAGTTGTAATAAGGATAATCATAAAATCATCATGTTTTGTGCCTCTTTGTACGAGTGACGCGGTGTGTGCGAGTGAATAACGCCTGTAATATTATTATACGCATCGAAGTCCATTCWTCATAAAATACCTGACTCCGGAAATAAGTTTCAAATTTTTAGCAATGTTTTGATCTTGTATGGTACATAATGATATGGATTATAGGTTATCACTTAACATCAAATTGAAAATATAACGGATGACGTAATTTCCGTCGTAGTTTCGTTGTCATATTTAATGTAAAAACTGATAGCCATGAACAATTAAAACGAAGTAAGACTAAGAACATATACTATCTATTTATGCACATATAATATGTATTATATGATGTATTATAATACATACAGGTACCTACTTGTATTGTTATATAACATTATTATTGTCATCGTGTGATGGCGGAGAAGGCTTTTCGGGATTTTCGTCCTTTGTGCAGTCGCCGATGCCGTCGCCGCTCTCCCRCCACCCCCACGTGGGAGACCAGATACGCCGCCGTCGGTCGTCAGAGTAGCCGTAATTGACCACATTCTCGCGGGTCAAACGGCGAGCGCGGTCTTCCCACGACGGACCGTTCATTAAACGCGGTCGAGCGCACTTACTCACGATGTACTATACCTATAAATATGTGTGTAGTGCGTATGTATAATACCTACACGCGACGACAAAATGCGTCTCGTTATAACTCGTTTATTATACATATTATATGTATATACACACGAACACACACTTTTTTTTTATTCTCCTCTTTTTACTTTATTATATTTGATATCAAGATGTATATACACACGGATTATAACCCGTACAGGTACGTTCGCGAGCATAGAAACAGATATAAAATTATTATAATGCATATAATACCTACGAAATGGTTGTGTGCGTACTATATAAGCGTCGTGTTATCGCGGGCGACGGTCACGAAACGAGAGATCTAAAATATAAAGCCATTTACGCGCCACGGAACAGTATAGGACGAACGGTTTTGAAGATGACAATAACGTGTGGGAATGGACATGATAATATTATAATACATCGGTTTATCGTAAACTGAGAGGGTTGTAGACTATAGTTAAAAATACATAATCCCTTGAAGATAATTTTGTAGGTAAGATTGAACCTATTTATGAAAATCGAGATTTGGAAATATCTTGTAGGTGGATACACGAATGCCGCTAGAGTATCTAAATATAGATGCCAACGTCGTATTAGCACAGAATAGATTCTGTGGTATTAGTATCTACTAACTAATTTATTATAAACACACTTTGGTTAAAAATTGTCGTATCAAACGTATATCGTTAATTTCACTATTATGAGGATAAAATAATTGATCGTCGAATAATATAATTTCACAGTAGGTTACCAATATTACAATGTACATTTTTGTTGTATATTGCTATATATTATTACAATTTATAGGTTAGGTTAGGTAAACACACAAGTTACATGACAAAACATTAATATTCAGGTACCTACCTGACTCCTACCTATGATCTATTATAATATAGTGTATGAGTATAATATACTATTAYGTACGGTGATAAATTTTATCATAATACCATAATTGTTAATTAGTAAAAATTAATATTTACTAGGTATTTCAGGTACAGCCGCGACTGTTCGGTTTTTATGGATTATTTTTATTGAAAAATGTATGAAACCCGGAATTATTTTAACTCGATACCTACTAGTCAGAAATGAAAAAAGTTATCACCGTTAAAGATCGGTGATAAATCACTCGAAATCTGATGGTAATACAGTTTCAGGTACGGGTTCTTTTTCACCAACAGTATATTTTGGGTGCGTAACATAAACAATAGCAATAATATTATGTACAAGATATAATAATAATACAACGTTTGGAGCACAATAATAACGAGTGTCCCGCCGACGACGTATATAGGTATTAAGAAAAAATAACAGGTAAAAAATTATAACGCGTCGTCTCGGACCTACCCACTTATCTCGTATTTTTCATCCAAGAGCCCAAGAMTCTTATCCGAATATTATCGAGAAACACACACGACACTGAAACGCGCATAGGTAGGTACATGTTTGAACCTATATAGGTATGTCTACATACGTATAATGTCATCATATTATATCTATGTGTACAAACGGAACACGTAATCGACTACGGACAACACCGCGCACTACAAGCCAAGCAGCTGATGTGTTCGCGGGGAGGGTGGTCGTTCCACACCATTCGGTTCTTTCTTTCCCGTCCGATATTCAATAATAAATAAAAACACGGGTCAAGAGATCACCAACGACATTTATTATAACGATAGTGAATATTATTATTCAGAGTTTAATTGTATTATATTTATTGTAGCTACTGTTGATTATATAGGTACCTACGTATAATGTGTTACATGTATTTGAATCACTCGTCTCGTCAAACTATGGTATAATAATATTATGACAACGTAGACGCAATTGTGCAGAAAACTTTTTCGCGTGTGCGGTGCGAATGCGCTGTCGGGCTAAAACTTATCGCCACATCGTGCGGGGAAACTGGAGTAACTGACGACGGCGCGACCGGCCAGACAACAATTACCTGCATGCAGCGAATTGCTGCTCTATAATATTATATACGTACTTTATTACATGTCCGATTATTATTAATACACATAGGCAACATAATGCTATATATTATAAAATATAATATGTACACAGTAATATAATATAAAAWTTTTTTATTTTTTTTTTTTTAATCCCTGACCTATAATTTATAAATGGACGGTCATTGTGCGGATTTTTATTTCGCGATAAAATAAACAAATTACTAATTTCAATTTATTCAAGATAATAATATTCAGGAATTTTATCAACAACGTTAGCTCTTATTCATTGCTATGCATGCATATATTCTTATACGCAACATAATAAATCGAAATATAACTAAGGATTTACAAAGGGATAACATATTTTTAAATTATTTAACCAATGAAATCTTATTTTTCAATAATTTTGATTTAATTCATTTATTTAAGATATAAATAATGAATGATATTTTAAGATGTTAATTTTATTGAAAGTTAGGAATCCTATTTTTGATTATATTCATATAATACATGCATTAATTAAATTGGTAGCGTAAAAATAGTCATTGTAGGTATAGTACTGATTGGTAGGTAACTTCTCAGCATTTTAAATCATGTTATAAATTGATTCATTATCAAAATACCTAATTACTTGTTATACACACAAATTTCTGAATAAAAAAGTAACATGCGTTAATCCACGATAAAAAGTTAAGATAGGTATATTTTTTAATGAATTATTTATATAGATATTATACAGATGAATAGCAAACAAAATGCATATTATTTTATTTCTCTTTCAAATATGAATTCTATAAAAAAAAAAACAGAAAGTAATAATTTTACTAGATAAGGACATGATTTCGTATCTATGATAATCTTTGTACGAATTTTGTACACAAATAAGGTAAATATRATATGATAAACAGGCTACATCTCTCATTTTATAATAATAAGTAGGTACCCATATTAGGCCCATAATGAATAATATATCATAATAAAATTAAAAAGACAAATAGAAGTAGACAATTGTACATACCTTGTGCGATACGAACTGCGGGCATTTTAATCCTCATGGTGAACGTAATCTTGGCGGTTTCACCACGTTGGTTACGAAATTTTTTTCCTCATATGAACACCGATGACGGTGGTCGGTACGCCGGAAAAACGTAGGCTGGAAGTCGGAAGTCGATCATTTTTCAACCGCAAAGTTCACATAATTACAGTGTACAGGAAATAAATTTCATAAATCAGATAATACAGTGTATATCTGAAAATCGAATCGCAGTTTTAAAAAAAAAGAAACGAAACGAACTGACTTATCGTGTCCACGAAATATAATTAATTTCGCGTATCGTCATGAGTGACCGTGGTATATGATTATTCGCGACAAAAAAAAATAGTTCAAAAATAATAAAACCAAAAAWAAATAAAATTAAAAACAAAAAAAAATAAGTACGTGCGTATACTTTTATCTTATTTTATGAGACATAAAGTGTTCGATGGTACACGGCGATAATAATAATATTATCGGAGCGAGCGAGCGGCGGACGGACGACGAGCGTCGCGCGTACGTAGGCGATGGCCGCGAGTGCCGGAATGACCACAGCACGCAGCAGTGCCGTCGAGTGGACTGAGCCGTGCGGCGGCGGCGATAGCGCGAGCGTGTGGTGCGCGGTGCGTGTGCCGGTGTGGTGCGCGGCGGGCAATGCGACCGCGTCCGAATAAATGCAAACTAAATGCCGGGGACCGCGCGCGCCGTCGGTTTGTCGGTAGCGCCGGCCGAATAGCCGCGTCCACTGCCGCCGTCGGCTCGGGTCGGTGACGGTCGGCTCCGGTCGTCGGGCCGCGCACACGCGACCTCTGGTCCCACAACCATCGCCGTGCCGTAGCCCGCGCGACCGGGACGACGACGGCGGCGGTGGCTGCAAACGGCGGCGGCAGCAGCCCGTCGTCCGTCGATAGGTGGTGTCTGGTGGTGGTGTCAGTGGTAGTGGTGACGTTGACGGAGGTGGTGGCGGTGGGGACGTCGCCGTCGCACGCCACACGCTTACGGACGTCCGTTGGGCATCCCTACCGGCGGCGGCGTGCCGTAGTTGCCCGTCCCGCCGCTGCACCGCCGACGGGCGCCCAACTCAATCGTCACGGCAACCGGTCACCACTCCCACTGACCAATCCTTTCGGCACGGCTGACCGCCGCTGACCCCCTGCGCCCCCGCTCACGCACACAATGCCACGGCGGCTGCCCGGTCTGTCGTCGCGGCATATCATACGCACGCGATTGTTTCAACCCTTTTCCACACACGAACGCACCGCCGTCGCCATTTTCTGGTCGAGCGTGATTTTTTTTATTCTTTATTCGTAGTTATGTTAGGTTAGGATGGGTAATGTTCAATTATTATTATGTCGTTTTTAAGTCGTGCAGGTTTCCGCGGTATATTGTATTGGTATACTTATATAATATTACCTTTACAGCTGGTATAAAATGTTATAACACAGGTATAATACCTACAAATATTATTATAGATTATAGTGTCTATATTATAATTTAATGCCTACACATTCGGCATGCCCTGTCGGAAAATGCGTCATTATTATTGTTCGTGGTATTTGTCGTTGTTAAAATATTATAATAAAATAGGTACCCATTGAAAAACATGAGTACATAATAATATATTATATACAATAAATATATGTATAGTATTTATAATCAGTGTAGACCACTTGAAAAATTACTAATGCGTTAGTCAATGTATAGGTATGAACACGTGAAGTATAAAACATATACCTATATATATTTATGTCTTATATTATAACCTTATATATAAATGAAATATATATTAATGAAAACTATGAAATTATACGGTACTACGTATATAATGCGTATAGGTTTTTCGCCAGGCAGTAAATTTTATTCTGTATGGAAAATGATGAGATTAATATACCTAATATACAATCACAATTATGGAAATAGTTATACAGGTGTGCATATATATAAAAATTGATACATAAATCAATAAAATTTTGCGAAAAATATGCAAAATATATTATTTTCACAGTTATGCATATTTATGGCTTGAAATAGGTACCTATAATTATTATATTATACAGGCTAAATAGGGTACACAGTTGATAATACATGTATACAATTTTATAAAATGTGTAATTAAATTAAATCATATATGTAGCTTTATATCATCATATTTTTATAATTTATGGTTGATAAATAGTCTCATTTTATTTCAATTCTTTTAAAATACATAAATGTGTTATTTAGTTTTGTAAAACCAATTGAATATACAATTATTATTTACAATAACATGTACATTTCGTCAGTTTGCCTGGAAGTTGGAACATATATATCATACGTAGTTAATATTAAACTGTTTTCAAAATATTTAAACCATTTAAATCACTGCAGCAATACATATATATTATATACTAATATCAAACCATAAATCTGTAAATATTCATTTATATATTTTGCAGAGTTTATCCCATAATATGTAGGTAGGTACCTATAATTAAAAAATAAAAATAAAAATATAATTTACTGCATACTAATTTTTGAGGTGTTTCACATAAATAGGAATTGGAAAATTCATCTTATTTAAATTTGCTTCTTGCACATTATATAATTAATTGTTTTTTTTTTTTTTTTTAATTGGACACCAAGCATTTTATAAAATATATTGATAAGTAGGTATATTTAGACATATGACATTTATTTCTAAAATATTTTCATTAAGTTTTTGAAATTATATATAATATATTTTTACGGTTATAAACACAGATTGTACTGAATTTAATCATATCAGTTTATTTGCTTTATTTATTTTATAATTTGGTCGATAGTTTAATTTTTATTTTGTTTAATTTTATTGCTTATTCGTATATAGAAATAAACATATATTTCTCGGTACATCAGCTGGTTATTACAGCTCGTTGCAGGTCACAATAAAAATGTGCAACTTATACTATATTGTTTACCTTTACACCTAGTTTTTACTGTTTAAACCTCTTATAGTAAATATCATGTTACCTATTTATTTTTATTACATAATTATTGTATTTTAATATATTATTATGAATTCTTAATAAAATATAGGTATTTACTATACAACAACTTACGCAGTGGCATAATACTTCGAGTTTTTTTTTAGATTAAGGCAACCCCTTACTGAATGATTATCCAACTCAGTATTTTTTTTACGTGATGTATGATGGATTCACATAGCGATAGCATACTGGATGAATTAGTGATAAAGGTTGGGGTAAATATTCAGTTATTTGAACTCACATGTACCTATGAACATGAATGCTAGTTATCACTGGATGACTTCTTTTCTCACACGTTTGTTTATATTTCTATGTTTACTTCTTGCAGCGTATATATTTTATTATATCCAATGGTGCACAGATCGTATATTTCAAATAAAAAACGCGGGTAAGTGGTTTTAATTATAATATTTCTTCTGTACAGTAGGTTATAAGTGGGTCACTATATAATCTGTAATGAATGGTTTTAAATTAGGATTTAATGATGATATTATGACAAGATATGTATTCGAAAAGAGATTATTCTACGTGAAGACAGTTATTGACGGCCTATAGGCTATAGGATAACTTATATTAAATTAATATTGTGATTATCGCTACTGTGTAATCGGTAGGTTATAAATTAATATCATTTTCACATTATCATATTTGAACATAATAATATATTTTAAAAGGTTCGAGTACCCACGAATAATATTTTTATATAGCAATAATATATAAAACTAAAAATCGTTATTCTTGATTATTTAATATGCGATAATAATTTATAATTACAATTTTTAATTTAATACACTTTGTTAAAATTTGAGCTTTGAATGCTTAAATAAAAAATCATGTCTATATAATTACTTAAGTAATATTTTTACTATTACAACTGTTATGTTGTACACCTACATTAGGAATCTTGTATTACATTTATAAGCTTTTTGACCCAACGAATAAAATAAAATATTGTATTATTGACATTTATACAAGAAAAAGATCTAATAAAAGAAAACTGAACATTTCAGTTATATTTTGAAAACTTCATCAAGTATAGGAATTAGGAAGTGATAAAATAAACATTTTATGTACATTTCGAGTATTTACAGTTATTCGTTTTTGAATCATATACACAAAAATAGAAAAATCATTCCATGTGATGATGAATATCYACAACGTTTTAAAAATTTGAATTTCAAATTCTCATAAAAATTTTATTTGGCTTTCCTATATATACATTTTTTTCTTATTAATTATGATTTATGATAAACGAATTTATAAGGAATTTTGACATGTTCAATTTTTTTAAATAATTTTTGTAAGTCAAAATACTTAGCCTTTCCTGAAAATAAGTAATTAAAATATTATATATTTATATTATAGTTATATTCATATACAAATAAATTATAAAATATCATGAGAAATAGATGAGGCTGATGTAATAATCAAAAACGTTTTTTGTTTGCAATGATTTATTTCTCTCGACGAAAGAGGTTAGGTATACTTACCTATTGGGACTATTAACTACAAGCAGCAGAGCTCTAGTCTTTTCTTATATTATACTCATATTTTTATAATTTATTTACATAAATCAAAGCAATATAACGGCATAGCGCGTTGCGTTATTATAGGTGTACGCTTCTTTATTAAACATAATACACCACAATATTAGATAATATCAACAAATATAGACATTTATAATACACAATGATGTAGTGTGTAATTGATTACTATTACTATTACATTTATGCGTACTTATATCTGTACGTGTTGTAATCAAATACTACAAAAATATATGTTTGATTAAATCCTTAACCTGTGTCTATATTATAGCAGATAGATAAATAATATAATATATAGGTATATATGTATATTGCTACACAATATGCGTATTATTTATGGCCATGTTAAGGTAAACGTGATCGATTTTGTTCAAGATATAGATAGCTGGTAACGATTTCATCGGTGAATTTTCTTTTTGAAAAAAACAAATTTTTCGGTTTTTTTTTCTTTTCTTCTTTTTGAATTGATTTTTGATTGATTAACAAGTGGTCGACATATACCTAGCTGGCATTGTTATATAGTTATAATACTGACAATACTGTTATTTGTAGTCTTAGAAACTAAAAACAGTGTTATATTTGTTATAGTGAATAACTATTYGCATATATTATATTTTATTATGCACTATACAATAATGTATCGGACAATCTTTTTGAACGAGTATAAGTATTATTTATTATTATCCTGTATTTTGTTAATAGGTAAATAAATATAGAACAAAAATTTTTGAATTCATATCTAATCGCGTGCGAAAAACAAAATAATAAAATAAAAATGCCTGTGCCAGCGACCGTGATGGTCGCATATTTAGTATTTACATATTATTATTATGTTGTGTATAATAGGTACATTTACGTATATAGGCGGGCGGCGCACGTTATGAGTTTACGACAAACAAAATATATAATTTTTCGTAGTCGATAAACAGTGAGAGACAACAAACAAATAATAAAACATAAATACAAAAAGACAAAATCGCAACATATAAATATATATATATTATATACTTACTCATATTATAGTATTATACACGTATATTATTTTACTCAACGATAGCAAACATGTTAACTTCCTGGATTCTATATAATTGCACAGATACTCGTGTGCGTATATGAAAGCATAGGTAAGAATCAAACATTTTTAT